GCCGCACGCCGCGCTCGAACCCGGCGACCTATACCGGCGCCTTCACGCCGATCCGCGAATGGTTCGCCCAATTGCCCGAGGCGAAGGCGCGCGGCTATCAGCCCGGGCGCTTTTCCTTCAACGTCAAGGGCGGACGCTGCGAGGCGTGCCAGGGCGACGGCGTCACCAAGATCGAGATGCACTTCCTGCCCGACGTTTACGTGACCTGCGATGTGTGCCACGGCAAGCGCTACAATCGCGAGACGCTGGAGGTGGAGTTCAAGGGCAAGTCGATCTCCGACGTTCTGGAAATGACCGTCGAGGAAGGCGTGGAGTTCTTCGCAGCGGTGCCCGCCGTGCGCGACAAGCTGGCGACGCTCGAGCGCGTCGGCCTCGGCTACATCAAAGTCGGCCAGCAGGCGACGACCCTGTCGGGCGGCGAGGCGCAGCGCGTCAAGCTGGCCAAGGAGCTGTCGCGCAGAGCAACCGGCCGCACGCTCTACATTCTCGACGAGCCGACCACCGGCCTGCACTTCCACGATGTGGCCAAGCTGCTCGAAGTGCTGCACGAACTGGTCGATGCCGGCAACACGGTCGCGGTGATCGAGCACAATCTGGAGGTCATCAAGACCGCCGACTGGGTCATCGATCTGGGCCCGGAGGGCGGCGACGGTGGCGGCGAGATTGTCGCCGAGGGCACGCTGGAGGACATCGTGGCAGCCGACCGCTCCTATACGGGCCAATTCCTGAGGGAGCTTCTCGAACGCCGCCCGGTCAAGCGCGTCGAGGCGGCGGAGTGAGGAGCGGTGGCGCTTTTGCCCAGCTTGCGGGAAAACCTGGAACGACTACCAGATCGTTCGGCTGCCGAGCAGTGTGAACTGGCGATCGTTCGTCACGAGCGCCAAGCCGTCGATTTCAGCTTGCGCGGCCAGGAGCCGGTCGAACGGGTCTCGGTGATCGCCAGCCATAAGCCCTGCCCGCCCGGCATGGGCAGCCGAAATGCTCAACACCGGGTAATTCAGGGACAGCATGGTTGGCTCGAATGCCACGGCAAGCGGTCCAATGTCGTTCCATTTGCCGATTCTGAACTTCGTGGCTGCCTCGAAAGCCGAGACGGCGCTGACGAAGACCTCGTTGTCGGTATCGGCGATCAGATCGCGTGCTCGTCGGGAGAGCTTCGGATCATCGAGAAACCACCAGGCAAGGGTGTGCGTGTCCAGCAGCAGCCTCATTCGATCGCGGTTGGCTCGCCTTTGCCCCGCTCGTGATTGTCGGGATCATAGGAATAGGCACCTTCCCAAGCCTGCAGCTCTTCTTCCGGGAGTGGGTCGAAGAAACTGTCCGGCAGGGTGAACTGCCCTTTCAGAGCGCCGGGCTTGCGCGGCTGCTTGACTTGTTCGGCCACAGGCACGAGCTTCACGGCCGGCTTGTCGCCGCGCGCGATGACCACCTCTTCGCCTGCTTCCGCGAGAGCGATCAGCTTGGAAAGATTGGTCTTGGCCTGATGCATTTTCACGATCATGCACGCAATATAGCTAACCGCTTAGCTAAGCACAATGGGACGGCGCCATCATGACCTCCGGCACCATACGCACCGGCATTGGCGGCTGGACGTTCGATGCGTGGAACCAGACCTTCTATCCGCCCGAGGTGAAGAAGAAGAACCAGCTCGACTACGCGTCCCGCCAGCTCCGGACGATCGAGATCAACGGCACCTATTATCGCGGGCAGAAGCCGGAAACCTTCGCCAAATGGGCGGCGGCGGCACCGGACGGGTTTGTCTTCGCTGTCAAGGGCAACCGGTTCGTCACCAACCGCAAGGTGCTGGCCGAGGCGGGCGAGTCGATGGACCGGTTCTTTGCCACCGGCGTCACCGAACTGGGCGACCGGCTCGGCCCGATCCTGTGGCAGTTCGCACCGACGAAAAAAATCGATCCGGACGATTTCGGCGCCTTTCTCGACATGCTGCCGCGCGAACAGGACGGCGTGGCGCTGCGCCATGCGGTCGAGGTGCGCCACGAGAGCTTTCAGGTGCCGGAATTCGTCGCACTGGCCCGCAGCCACGGCATCGCCATCGTCGGCGCGCTGCACGAGACTTACCCCGCGATCTGGGATGTCGCCGCCGATTTCGCCTATGTGCGGCTGCAGACCGGCTCGGACGATATCGAGACCTGCTATGGCGGCAACGAATTGTCGGCATGGGCCGAACGCCTGCGGCAATGGTCGCAAGGTGAAGCGCCCGACGACCTGCCGCTGACCGCGCCCGAAACGCCTGCGCAAAACCGCCCGCGCGATGTCTTCGCCTATCTGATTTCCAGCGGCAAATCCCGCGCGCCCGCCGGCGCGATGGCGCTGCAAAGGCTGGTGGACGACGACGCCTGAGGCATCGCGGCTAGCCGGCTTCCCCGCCAAGGCATGCCATGCCCTGATCGGCCAGCATCGGCAGCAGCGCGTCTGCGACCGCATCGGAGAGTTGTGCGATCCCCCGGCGCGAGAAGTGCGACTGGTCGGTGAAGTTCTCGGCGACCGGCGCGATGTCGGCGATCGGATCGATGAAGGTCCAGCCAAGGCGCTGCGCCGCTTGGTCCTGGGCCGTCACCAACAGCGTGTTCAGCCGGGCAAGGTCACGCGCGCCCAGCCCGCGCGTCTCGTGCCGCAATTGCCGCGTATGGGCCATCTGCTCGTCGAGCGGCAGCCCTTCGCGCAACTGGCCGCGATAGCCGATCGCCAGCACCGGGGTTTGCCCGATGGCATCGGCAAGGCGACCCGCCGGCCCGTCGAAGGCCTGCGCGATGTCGGCCAATTCCCCGTCCGGTTTGGGGCCCTCATGCCGTGCCTGGCGTTCCTGGCGTGCCAGATGAAAAGCGCGGAACAGCTTGTCGGCAAGCCGCGATTGCAGCACCAGCCAAGGATAATGAAGTGTGTAGCCGCCCCGCGCATCGGCCTCGGCGTGCAGGTGAAGAACGTCCCGCATCGAGCCCGACAGCACCACATGCACGTCGGGGTCAAGCGGTGCGACATCGGTGCGCACCAGTTGCGCCAGATGATCCATCGTATAGGCCGGGCCGGCGACGGTCACCTGATCGAAGCGGCAGGCCGGCGCGCGGGCGGCCAGCCGGTCGGTCACCTGCGCGGCGATCATCTCCTCTTCGGCATGTTCGGCGCTGAACAGTTTGGAATCGCCCAGAAAGGCCAGACGGATCGTGCCCTCCGGCTTGTCGGCCGCAATGTCGGGCCCGCGAAATCCCAACGCGTTGATGGCGATGCCGCCCGCTTCGGTGCCCGGGGCAAAGCGCGGCGGCGCGCCTTCGTCGCCTGGCTGCATGGCGTCCATCAGCGCATACCAGTCGAACCCCGGCGGCGGAGCCCGCAGCGCGTCATAGCTGCGCGCCAGAACCTCGCCGGCGACAAGTCCCAAGACCACGACCAGCATCGTGCCGGCGCCGAAGGCGATCTCGGTCTGGCGTTCGGTCAACCGGCCGAGCCACCGCCCAAGCCAGGCGCCGTCGATCAGATCAATAGCGCGCATAACGAAAATCCGCCGGCGGTTCGACGCTGAGCATGACGATGCCCGCGAGCAGCGCGACATACCAGATCGCGCACAGCCACCCGGCGGTGCGCGGTGAGAAGCGGGTCAGAAGCAGGCCGTACATGATGGCGCCCTTTCCTCTCAGTCGATCAGGCCGAACAGGCGGCCATAGGTTTCAAGCGCGGCCCCCGGCGTGCCGGCGGTCAGGATGACGAAACCGAGCCAGACGAAATGGACGGTGAAGACGACCTTGGCCACATGCAGCACGGGCAGCGCGCTTTCCGGCAGCGCCTGCTCGAACCGCGTCGTCCAGCCCTGGCTCTTCTGCCAGACGATCAGCCCGATCCCGTGCCAGGCGCCCCACAAGAGGAAACGCAGCGAGATCTCGTGCCACAGGCCGATGGCGATCATCGTTGCCATGGCGCCGAGCGCCGGGCTTCGCGTCTGGGCGACGACGACCGAATAGACATAGTCGCGGCACCAGCGTGACAGCGAGATGTGCCACGACCGCCAGAAGGCCGAGATGTTGGGCTGCAGATAGGGCCAGTTGAAGTTCTCCATCACCCGGTAGCCGAGCAGGCGCGCAAAGCCGATGGCGATGTCCGAATAGCCCGAGAACTGGAAGTAGAGGTTCAGCCCGTTCTGGACGATTTCCAGATAGATGACGTGCTGCGCGGCAGGATCGTCGAACGTGGCGATGTAGTCGCCGAGCACGCCCTCGGTCAGGAAGTTGGAGAGGATGACGATCTTGGCATAGCCGTAAAGGATGCGCTCGGCGCCCTCGGAGATCAGCGCCGGGTCCAAGCGCTGCCGGTTGAGGTCGCGCCGGTAGTCGTCGAAGCGGTTGATCGGGCCGACGACGATGGTCGGCAGGAACAGAAGATAGCCGGCCAGTTCATGGGCGCCGGCGCGCGGGATCGCAGACTTGTAGCGCTCCATCAGAAAGTGGATGCAGCGGAACGTG